CTCCACATAGCAGCCAGATGGACCCTTAAAACCCAAGTCACGGCACATCACTCCTCTGCTAAAACCCCGCGATGACTCCAGTCTCACTCAGAGCAAAAGCCAAAGCCCTGAGAGCGATCTCCAAGTTCTGGACCCATCTGCTCCTTGACAACAATTCCTCCCCTCTCTTACCACTCACCCCCACCACCTTCTCCACCCATTCTGGCCTCCTCCTTCTCCCCTGACTGCTCCTCACACAGGTCAGGCACATGCCCACCTGGATGCCCGTTTCCTCTGATTGGAATGCTCTCCTTAGGCTTCCATGTGGCTCCCTGACCTCAACACCCCACTTGACCTAAAAGTCTCCTTCTCAGGGAGGCACCCCCACTCCTGACATTTCCTTTCCCCACTTCTCCTGTATTTGTTTCTCCTTGATATGATCACTATCTAACACAGTACATATTTTCCTTATTTATCTTGTTTAGTATCTGTCTCTCCTACTACAGCAGTCCCCAACCTTTTTGGCACCAGGGACCAGTTTCGTGGAAGACAATTTTTCCACAGCCCGGGTTGGGGAGATGATTTTGGGATGATTTCAAGTGCATTACATTTACTGTGCATTTGATTTCTATTATTATTACATTGTCATATATAATGAAATAATTATACAACTCACCATAATGTAGACTCAGCGGGAGTCCTGAGCTTGTTTTCCTGCAACTAGATGGTCCCATCTGGGGGTGATGGGAGACAGTCACAGATCATCAGGCATTAGATTCTCATAAGAAGAGTGCAACCTAGATCCCTCGCATGCGCAGTTCACAATAGGGTTCTTGCTCCTATGAAAATCTAAAGCCTCCACTGATCTGATGGGGGCAGGGCTCAGGCCATAATGCAAGTGATGTGGAGTGGCTGTAAGGAGAGATGAAGCTTCATTCGCTCACCACTGCTCATCTCCTGCTGTGTGGCCCAGTTCCTAAAAGGGCTGGTCCCCAGGGGTTGTGGACCCTGCCCTACTGGAAAGCAAGCTCCATGAGGACAGACTCCCAGATCCTAAAACAGTGCCTGGACTAGTAGGTGTTCAATAACTATTCACACATTCATTCACCCTGTAGGCTAGCATGGAGCCAGCACCGGGGGATACTGGAACCCAGTGGTGAGCCAGACACTGCCCCTGACAAGGACCATCCAGGGTATTACACACAGTGACGGGGAAGCCCAGAGTGCCACAGGAGCTCAGAGGAGGGAGAGATCAACTCAGCCCAGGGGGCTGGGGACAGCCATGCTGAGGAGGGCTTTACAGGATAAGTAGGAGTTCACTGGCTGGAAGAGACAGCTTCGCAGCTGGCAGGTGGAATGGCTGGTATGAACACCAGGAACAAAAGAGTAGGATGTGTTCTTGACACAGGGGAGGGTACAAGAAATGAGGCCAGTGGGCTGGGCAGGAAGTATTTGAGGGCCTTGGAGAGCAGGTCGGGGGGTTGAGCTTCTCCCCGTGGGCAATGGTGGGCCAGTGAAAGGGAGAACATGGCAGGTGTGTGGGTCTGGAGGCTCCCCACTCAGATGGCCAACACGCAGCAGCCTAGGCATGGGGAGAGGTGGGGTATGGGGCCCACCTATCATGCACCAAGGTAAGGGGTTGGAAATGCCCCCAAATTGTGTCCTCATCTGGGAAACAGCTCAAGCTATAGTGTCATTATGGAGCGTCTTGTATGCCCAGGCCTGTGCTGGGAGGAGACCTTGGGGAGTATTAAACCAACTTCCCCCGACCCCCACCATGTGAGGACACAGCAAGAAGGTGGCCATAGGCAAGCCAGGAAGACAGCTCTCCCTCTGACCTGACCATGCCGGCACCCTGATCTCAGACTCCCAGCCTCCAGAACTGTGGGAAAACATGCTTTCTGGTTCAAGCCCCTGAGTCTGTGGTATGCTGTTGTTGTAGCCCAAGTGGACTAAGATAGATGAAGAAGTCAAGGAGAGCTTTCTGGAGGAGATGAGGTTTTGGCTGTCATAGCAGAGAAGACAAGCCTGGGCTGACTGTACCTTGGACACCACAGACCTGAGGCCAAGGCCCATCCTTCAACCAGCCCACAAACCCTCAGTGATTTCTTTGGGATTTAACTTCTCTGCTGAAGAGCACAGGGGCAGTCCCCAGATTGATGGAACTTTGCGTGTTGCATAAAGTCCAGGCGGTTCCCTGAAGGCATGGGTAGGGGGCTGGAATTTCTGGCTCCTGAGCACTGGATTCCAGTTTTCCCCTTCTGCCTCCAGCAAAGGTAACTCAGCCAGGCTGGAGCCAGCCAGGAATCAATATGCAAAAGCCTCCCTCTCACCCAGCTCCCACGCCTAAGGAGGCTGCTTGGAAGCGGGGATCTGAGCTGGGCTCTGAATGGCAGCAGTGATCAGGAATGCAGTGAGAAGCTCTATAAACAAATATACATTTTCATAAGACATGTTTAATTAAAGTGGATGAAAATTAATTTGCTTTAAGAAAATTAGAAGTGCCCTAGAGGATTTCAGAAGCAGGCCAAGAGTCCCTGAATCTAAAGGCTCCTTAGAAGGCTTGGGGGTGGGAGGCTCCCCAGTCGCTGCACGTGGTGCCTCAGAAGTAGACAGCTCACATCTACATCACACTCCGCACTCCGTACACCACCAGGCGTGTTCACATGGAGATGGCAGGCGTGATCAGCCCTGTGTTTGCCAGGCGGAAACTGAAGCTCAGAGGGGGTTGTGACTTGCCCAAGGTCACACAGTGGTCTGTGGCAGGCCCAGTGGGGAGCTGCCAGTGTTTTCTGTCAGTGCTGGACATTTCATTCATGCTCCACACAGCGAAAGCCTCTCACCCTCAGGGCCCCTGGCCGGAGCTGCCTCCCAGGTTCCTCTCATCTGCAAAATGGTAGCCCTGGAGCTGTGACAATCGGCACACATGGGAAGGCGGAGGGAAGCAGCCTGGGGGTTGGGGACAGGAGCCAGAAAGGGAACTGACCCGAAATCAACAAGCATTCCAGAATTTTAAGCAGTTTTTGGAGGAAAACAAGGAGCAGATTCAGCTGTAGCAATTTGCTCCAGGGGAAAATTATGTTCCCGTGCTCTATTATACAGAACAGAAGGAACATTAGGCAGGTTGAATACTTGTTA